GGAGGTGAGTTGGAGCTTGTCGAGGGAAATGTAAAGGAGGAAGAAGCACTCCCAGTCTCAAAAAAGTTGGGCGGAAGATCGATGTTTGCATTTGTTGTGCCTTGTTTGTTTTGTTGCCTCTTACAAACGTCATGGTGTGCCTTCACTCTTTGTACTCTGTCTTGAATCTCTTTCTTACACTGTTTGCAAGTTGCTCTGCATCCTGACCTATTAGAGAAGGTGGTTTTGATGTAAAACTGCCAAATACTGTCTTCTTGTCTTCCAGCCATTGCGTTCTTTTCAAACTGACTTATTATTATTACACAAACACAAAAAACCTACACACTTTTCATCATTAGCCTCTCTTGAACTTTTGTGACAAAATGAATCAGACCGAAGAAAGGCGACGGCATTTATAGATTACGCCGGGCAACGTGCGAAAACGAGTCACGGGCCGTTGCGACAATAATTTTCCGTCGAAAATGCGTTCGGACAAGTATTGAATCGGTTCAATCCATAGCTTGAATCTTCTCGGCAAAAATTGCAATGACTTTAAAACAGCTAATTAAGCGGATTCATCAATTGATTTAATAAAAATCAAAAAAATGATGATTTTTTTGATTAATTTAAATAAATCAGTGATTTTTAATTTTTTTAATAAAAATCAATTTTTGCCCAACACTGGTGAAACATACCCATCAGGCCGAAACCTATCCCTCGGGCTAGTTCGGCCTTCAGGGCATTATAGAGTCCGTAACGCCCTTGGTACATAAATAGCTATAGGATTTCCATTTTTGGACGAAATGATAGGGGTTTGACACATTTTTACAAAGCGCTAACGAGGCGAGTGTTCCAATAACATTTAGCCTTTACATAGAGCCCTTTTACACGAGGATACTTTTACCCGGCAACTATTGCTTCGGATACTCGTTTAACATACAGCCTTATGGAACCGTACACACAGGGATACTTTTCACAATCAGTTTCGGCAACTGAATTTCGATCAGCCGTGAGTTCCAGTCGCTCTGGCAATTTTACGACTTCCGGGGCCGATTTTCTAAGGGCCTTTATGGACCTGTTCGTTTATGGACTTGCTAATTGTGAGAACCGGGCTACTACTTTGCTGTCTTGCTACAAGTCTGCGATGAGTATCCCGCAATGTAAATGGTATCGGAGATTTCGGTCTGCCAACTGTATCCTCGTGTAAAAGAGGTCTTATTTTATAATTTTTCAGAGAAAATACCCCTGATGATCATCAGTATTTTAAGTAAAAATAATACGTTTTTTGCGCAGCAAGAATTGCTTAATAGAAGTTTGCTAAAACTGGAATGACCTGAAATTTTAAAGAAACTTCAAAACTCTTCAGAGCGATGAGGGTGGCGAATTTTTCAATTGATTTTTTGTAAACTGTTGCCCTCTGGTGTCTTTCTTCGACCGGGACAAAAGATAATCTTAATTACTTTCTTTATAGGAAATATTTTTGGGAAAACCCAGAAAAAAATGATTAGGGTTCACATTTTTGGACGAAATGATTGGGGTTCGACACATTTTTACAACGCGCTTAACGAGGCGAGTGTTCCAATAACACTTATTTTATAATTTTTCACAGAAAATACCCCTGATGATTATCAGTATTTTAAGTAAAAATAATACGTTTTTTGTACAGCAAGAATTGCTTAGTAGAAACTTTGCTAAAACTTGAACTCTTTAAAAAAAAAAAGGGTTTTCTAAAGTTCCCTGCAAACCGATGAACGAGGCGCATTTTCTAGCAAAATCAATTTTGCCATTTTTGGCTGAAAAGACCCCATTATTGTCAAAAGGAGAAAATTATCAAAAAATAGTGTTTTTATGCGTTTTTTATTAAAAACTTATAGTTCTCTGATCGGTTTTGCAGAAAATCTTAATGATTTTGGGCAAGAAACGAGAGAGAAATTTATTTTCGTTTTTGTCGCGAATTCGAGGCTGAAAAGTTTTTGTAAAATTCCTACAAAGCTATAGACTTTTTTCGCGCAAAATACATCCAGATCGTCACTTTCTTAAGTAAAACTCTAAAAATAAAGTTTTTGAGTATAAAGCAACGCAAAAAAATCAGTTAAAACTAAAAAAACACATTTTTTAAACTAGCTCTTCAGAGGAATGAAAGTGACGAGTTTTCCAAATAATTTATTATAAACTTTCGCTTATTCAGTTCGTTTTTTGATAAAAAATTATTTGATTTTTGTCCCAAATTCGAAGATGGAAAGGGATTTCGAAACTTTTTACAAAGCGACGAAGAAGGGAGTGTTCTAATAAAATTTATTTCATAATATTTCGCGAAAAATACCTAAAGATTGTCAGTATTTTTAAGAAAAACTAGAAAATAATACGTTTTTTACGTAAACAGAATTGCTTAAAAAAAACTGAAATTTTAAAGAAACTAAAAATCCTCAGAGCGATGAGGGCGATGCATTTTCCAAATTATTTTTTGTAAACTTTGGTCGGGTCGTTTTTTTTTCAAAATAATCTAAATTACTTTCGGTGAAAAACTGAAAAAAATTATTTGGTTTTTGTGCCAAATTCTAAGCTGAAAGGGGTTTTCTAAAGTTCCCTGCAAACCGATAAACCAGGCGAATTTTCCGGCAAAATCAATTTCGTCATTTTTGGCTGCAAAGCCCCCATTATTGTCAGATAAGAAGAAAATCATCAGAAAATTACATTTGTCTGCGTTTTTGTTTAAGAACTTTTAGATTTGTGATCGGTTTTTGCAAAAGCCTTAATAGTTGTCATACAGGGAAAAACATACTAAATTTAGTTTCGCTGTGTCCCGAATTCGACTCCAAAAAAAGTTTATTCAGTTCGTTTTTTGATAGAAAATTATTTGATTTTTGTCCCAAATTCGAAGCTGGAAAGCGATTTAAAACCTTTTTGCAAAGCGACGAAGGAGGCGAGTGGATGGATTTATTTCATAATTTTTCGCGAAAAATAGCTTAAGATATAGCTTAAGTATTTTTAAGTGAATCTTTAGAATTGAGCATTTTGAAAAAACAATTACTGCTGAAACTGGAAAATTCTGAAATTTTGAAGAAATGTTGAAAATATTACTGATAAATTGCCCTTAAAATAAATCTAAAAACAAGTAAAAAAAGTCCTTAACATGTTCCCAGCAAAGGAACTAAATTACTGTGCCGGTGTGTTAGGTTGGCGCAACATTGCGCTAACTCCTAAATAATAATTGAGTTACCCAGGCCTAGTGTACGTGCGTGTTTTTTCACCCTAAGTGTTTTAATCGAGAAAATCACTTACAGAATTGAGATGAAAAGAACCCAAACTCCCAATGGCTCGAGCCATTTCACGGCGTCCCAAAACATTTTTTGCCGTTTACAACCTTTAAACCGCGCTGTGCTCGCCAAAGTTCCGCATATTTTACCCAATTAATGGGCTCGAACTAAGCAGACGATAATAGCGGGTCGTAATTGAAGTACAAAGGTCATATAGAAACGGCTGCAATTGCGATAAGCAGAGCGAATTAAAAAAAAACGAAACAAAAGTGGAACTTTTCAACCTACCAAATGTTGTCGGTAAAACTGAGATACGGAAACTTCTTCAAGCTGAGAAAACTGTAAAATCGGCACTGTTCGGCTGGTTCAATCGGGGGCCACGGCATTATTTAAATTTAAAAAAATTGTCGCTTGCAGTTTACTGGTCAATTTTGGCGTTAGCCCCGAACCTGTCAAGCTGACAGCAACCACAGAGCGACTCGAGTGACGTCACAAAGAGGTAAGAGAGAAAATTTTAACCAAAAACAAGCTTAATCAACTGTTAAGTCACCGCAATAATTAAACTGAATAATTCAGACACGTTTGGATAAATTTGTTATCAATTTGCAATTCAAAATCAGTAAATACGATTTAGAAAAAAATTCATCAATACATAATAAAACAATTCCCATTGGTGTCTCATTATCTGGAACCCGACAATTTAAACAAATAATTTCCTCGATTGACTTAATAGCTCACTGCCCCCTTGAATACCCAGTACTGTCACTTTGACAAGACGAAATTGGAAATAAAAAACGTGCTTAGACACACCTGTCATTATACAGCACACTAAACAGGATCATATTTGGGCACCTGAAAAGCAACTAACTCCCATTCGTTGCTCGCTACGCTTAAGTCTATTAACCCGTTTGGGTTTTTGTGACCATTGGCCCGCATTTGTTGGACAAAATCACAACACAACGGCCCAGATGGGTGTCAAGGGCGCGCATTTATCGGATTTTTCAATTACCTGCTCGAATGGATTTTACTAAAGCAAGTCAAACGGTGCTAGAACATAAATTACGAAAAAAAAACACTTACACAGCCTTAAAGCGACATACTTTGTCGTCCAAAGCCAGATTTACGGCACACATTCTTAGGACTTATGCAGGCTCACTGCATGTTTCTTAAGCGACAATTAACTTCGATGAAAATGACCTTGTGTCGAACGGGACTCATTTCAGGGAAGTAGGTAAGCAAATGTGGTTGTCCGAACCCCACTGTTGAACTAATTCACAGAACATCCCCCCTAGGATGTTATGTGAACTAGGTAATTTATGAATATTGAGCGCAAAGTAACAGTACTGTGAGAGCTTGTTCTTGACAGGCCACCTAACGCTAATTTCCAGAACATTATGGCAGCAGGCGACTCGGACTTCTGTCATAATGACGGATTGGAATAAAAAACCGCGATAACCTGCCATATTGAAGCAACAATAACAAAAGCTCGCAAAAAAGAGAAAGTTTCGTCTATTGGCGTGAAAAACTGCAAACTTTCCCTGGTTATCGTTGCGTAAAACACTTAGTGGCATTCTAACTCACCCTGTAGGCGACGACTCGTCCTTATGGCTCACGTAGTACTTGTTCTTCTTGTGCTTGTGCTTCTGGCCCTGGGCCTTGGGAAAGAAGAACAACTTGAAGCCGCGCTTAGGCCTGTCCTGTTTCGTCGCTTTGCCTGTCATTGCCAGAAAACTTCTTACATCACCGTGCCGGACCGATCCAACACTCAACAATCCCACAAGCACAGAAACCTGAAGTTGTTTATCTAATTAATACAGTTGATCAGGTTTGGCTTGGATGGGAGAAAGTTCACTGGTCGCGGTGAGCGGAGAGCAAACGTTTAAGATGGGCGATTCTCGATTAATGTGGTTTGGGGCAATTATACACAATGGGCATTTGTTGCCCGATATTTTGACGAGCAAGCAATAAAAAGGCTTGTTTGCGGTTTGACGTCGCGATATTGCACAAAAGTGTTTACGCAGCGAAATCACTGTAGATTGCATAAAGCGACTTAACAGTGATAAGCAAATATTACCTGGAAGGAAAAAATCAACATATTAAATGTTAAAGAAGTCTATAACAACAGCAATTAACATCAAAGTGCTGCGTTCCATGTTTCTAATACTTAAGCGATTTTTTTAATGGAATGCTGTTACCACATATTCTTTAAACTCGGGCGCATTCGCCATCATCGACAGAATACAAATGTTGTTCCACAGTCTTTTATTGGAGTTTGAATTTATAACATTATCCATGAAGTATTGTGCTTTCACTAGTTGCGCTTTGTCTGACTTGACTGACTTCTACAAACGTGACTTGTTTCTCAGGATTTGTTGCGGTAAAAAATTCATGGAGAAACTGAAATTTTGCAATTAATTGCGGAATTTGAAGCGAGACCTGAGTTGTGGGATGAAAAAAAATCTGCAGGACTAATTGCTTTCCGCATATGTAATTATTTTCTTCTTATCTTAGGACAAATTAATTCCAGAATATAGGGTGATTCACAACCTTATGGACACAGAGCAGGGGCGTGTAGAGGACCTCAAAACAAGTCGAATTTCCATTTAAGTTTTTTTTCTCAAGCCCATGGTTAACAAGATACAGGGTGTTAAAGTTTCAAAAAATGTTGGCATTTTCTCTTTAACTTCTACAGTTGATGAGATATTTTGCTCAAATTTTTTACGTAGGCTAATGTTTAGACCCTTTACCTGTAGGTAAGGCGACTGGTTGTGAAGATCTACAGGGTCTTTTTTTTCTGGAGGCATCCCCCTTTTACCCCCCGAGCTTTTTGGTGGTACGCCACTGGCTTCGACCGAACACATTTTCGCATTTGTTGTTCAATTTAAGAATGTACTAATCTCTTGCAGTTTTTTCGTATCTGTCTTCATTTTCGAGTTATTTGCACAAATATCAGACCATGTAGGGTTCCTAGGTGATTTTCGATGAATTTTTTTTGCGTCCTTCTGTTCACATTTTTTTGTGAAAAAAATTGATTTCATAATAAGTTGCAATATTCGTTACATTTTTGTGTATTTTTCTTTGGATTAGCTTACAGCCGGTAAACCTCAATTATTGTAAATAACATAAATTAAAGTAAAAAAAAATAAATTTTAAAGTTTAGTTTAATTTCAACATGCACTTAAAGCTTTCAGAGAAAAATGTGAACAAAAGACCAAAAAAAAATGTAAAAAATTTATAGAAAATCACCCAGAAACCCTACATCGACTTAAATTTGTGCAAATAACTCGAAAACGGAGACAGATAAGCAAAAGTTGCAAGAGATCAGAAAATTCTTAAATTGAACAGCGAAGGCAAAAATGTGTTCGGTCGAAGTCAGTGGCGCACCACAAAAAACCTCGGGGGGTAAAAGGGGGTATGCCTCTAGGAAACAGAACACCCTGTAGATTTTCACAATTTCCCAACCAGTCGCTTTACCTAAAAATTTGAGCAAAATATCTCATAAACTGTAGGAGTTAAAGAGAAAATGCCAACATTTTTAGAACTTTAACACCCTGTACCTTGTTAACCATGGGCCTAAAAAAAAACTTAAATGGAAACTCGATTTGTTTTGGGGTGACTGAAACGAGTACGGAAAAGTCTGTGGAGATAAAAAAAAAATGTTGCGCTGCTTAGGTATCTAGTGCACACGAGTCGCGCAACATTTGTAGCACCGAGACAATGTTGCGTATACAAAAGTAGCGGGCAACTGGCCGTCTAGTGAACACAGCACGGCAACAAATGTAGCGCAACAATCGACTTGTGGTACAAAAGTATCAAGTGGACCCGTAGCTTTAGGGCAGTAAAATGTGAACATTTCTTGCCTATCTTCTATTTTCATCCTAATCACTGATTATAATTCATCTTATCGCTTAATTAAAAAATACAGACAACAAGTCGATTGTTGCGCTACATTTGTTGCCGTGCTGTGTTTACTAGACAGCGAGTTGCAAGCTACTTTTGTATACGCAACATTGTATCATGTATCTGTGCTACAAATGTTGCGCGACTCGTGTCCACTAGAATACCTAAGCAGCGCAACAATTTTGTATCTCCACAGACTTTTCCGTACTCGTTCCAGTCAATCACTTTCGGTTTGAAATTGTCGAGAAAACTTGTTGCTGCTCTAATTGTACTTTCAACCATAAAAGAAGAAGAACTGAACTAGGGGCTAAACAATTAATAAAGTAATTACATTTCCTCGATTTTACAAAAACCTTTTACGTGTGTCTGCAGCAGAATTTGATTATACAGGGTGATTCACAACCTTATGGACACAGAGCAGGGGCGCGTAGGTAAGGCGACTGGTTGTGAAAATCTACAGGGTGTTCTTTTTCCTAGAGGCATACCCTCTTTTAACCCCGAGATTTTTTGTGATGCGCCACTGACTTCGACCGAACACATTTTTGCATTTGTTGTTCCATTTAAGAATTTTCTGATCTCTTGCAGTTTTTTCGTATCTGTCTTCGTTTTCGAGTTATTTGCACAAATATAAGTCCATATAGGGTTTCTAGGTGATTTTCTATCATTTTATATATATATATATATTGTAACGGAAATGGCCTGGGGTACTCACGTTTGGAATGGGGGATGGAAATTCATGGTGTTTCAGTAAATGGGAGCCCCATTTGGGCCCCATTTACTGTCAAATATGACACTGACAAGCGGGAAGTTTCGCACCTGTTCTGGAGATTTCTAGAACTATCTGGAATACCTGGAGAAAAGGATATAAGCGACGACGAGAACCAGACCAGGGGGGAGTGAAGTGACAGGAGCGACCGGGTGCAGAAGAAGTTAAACCCGCGAGTCGGAAATCCGTATTTTCCGTGTGTTATTGTTATCGTTTGTGAAGTTGACATTAATTTTAGAAGTTAGTTTGTTCCTGTTCCGTAGTTAAAGTTGTACCGAGTGGAATAAAAGTTGTAAGTTGAAGAAAGAATTTGATACTCGGCCATCCACGGTACAATATATTTTGTTGCGTCCTTTTCGTTCCGTCGTTTTTTTTACTTTAATTTCATTTTCAATAATTGAGATTTATCGGCTGTCTCCAGAGTTAATCCAAATAAAAATATACATAAATGTAACGAATAGTTCAATTTATTATGAAATTAATTTCTTTCACAAAAAAATGTGAACAAAAGGAAACAAAAAAATTATAAGAAAATTCATGGAAAATCACCCAGGAACCCTACATGGACTTATATTTGTGCAAATAACTCGAAAACGAAGACAGATACTAAAAAACTGCAAATATTCCGCAACTAATTTCAATGTTTCATCCGTTAACCACTTCTCCATTGTAAAATTTGTACTGCAACAAATCCTGAGAAACAAGCCACGTTTGTTTCGTATGAAACACAAGCGCAAAAAGAAAACATCTGTGTCCACTTAAATGCTCTCGGGCATCAAGTGGTGTATAGCCGCAACACGAATTTTGTTGCGATACACATTTAATTTGCCCTGTCGACAGGAAACACGAGTTTCCAGCATGTCGCGATACTAAAGTATTCAGTGGACCCGTACCTACAATGAAAACAAGGCAGGATAGGATATTCATCGGTCGAAAACTCGATTTTCGTGCGCACATGACGTCACTGGTTAGCACTTTGGTAAAGTGAACAGCTGATCCCATTTAAAATGCATGTAACCTAGACAGATTTTCCTTGAATTTAAAACGCAATAGTTCAAAAGTGGAAAGTGAGATGAGGATATGGTTTGCAGTGTTGTATAGCTCAATGCTTTCAAAATCGCGTTTGGGACCTGATTTAGGCTTATTGCGAAGAAAAATACCCTAAAGAAGTCTACAAAATCTCTGATTTTCATCATTTTAGCTTGCAGTGTTGCCAGAGTGTCATTCGTGAAATCGGGTAGAGCCAAACGAAACAATGAATTCATTGTATCATTCAATGAATCCATTCTGTATCATTGAATGAATTCATTGGATCATGGGGCGAATGCGTTTCGGCATCTTGTAGACAAACAATTGAGAATTTCGCGTTTGGTAGTTGGAAAGTGTACTGTAGATTGTTTGCTACTTTTAAGTGTCGGTTCAGAAATATAAAAAATGCGGTGTGTAGTTTACGGTTGCATTAGTAATACGAGAGTTAAATCTCCGAAATAAAATCTCCGCATTTCAAAAATGATGATTATGAGACATGAGAGGAATTTGCAATTCGAACTTATAGGGCATTTACCAAAAACAAACGCTATAGTTTATTGCACATCTGGCAACTGTGCTAGTCTACAAAATAAATAAATTTTTGTTATTTTCATTTTCAAGTTTAAAACCTGCTGCAAAGCAGTTTGTAATTATAACAGATTTATAAAAAAATTATTAAATGTGACGGATACTAAATAAGCTATATTTAATCACATTTAGCAGACAGGAAAAAATCACGACACGCAGTGACTTCCACTGACGTCACGCAATTCGACGCAATATCCTACCTTGTATTCACTGCTATGATTCACTGTATCATGGAACCACAGACTACATACTATGGCATGGAACATGGAACATGGAACAAGAGTTTGTTGCGTTCGTTTGGGTTTGGATTAAACAAACAAGATTCATGCCATAAATTAACTTACCAAAAGGACAGCAATCTGGACATTTACTGAACATTATCAGGAAGCACTAATTAGGGCAAATAAAACATTAAATTTGCGCGAAATATTACGATAATCCTAAACAACAAAACCTATGACAGCTCAAAAAGTTAAACGGCCCTTTTGCCATGCAGTGTGGACAACGTGATAATAGTCACAGCTTAGTCACATTAGGGTGGCAACCCTCCGCATAAGTGACTGAGGCTGACAACTTCAAGGTGGGCAACATAGATAAAGACCAGTAAGTATGCCAAAACTGCAGAATCTAGATTTAGATGACAGCCTGCACAGAACATCCCCCCTTATTTTGGGGGATATTTGTGACAGCCTGCTGGCGTTCATCTGCTGACGCTTTAACGTCACCTATCAACTTTGTAAAAGTATCTTCAAATCTCGGTTTGATTCAATAACTTCAAAACAATGAAGCGAAAAATGCCGAAAAAAAATCCTGAGAAGTCCAGTGAAGATGAGAACGGAGTGGAGCATGAAGAGGCGGAGTCCCAAACGAAGAGTGGAAGGCGATCCAAAAGAAATACTGATCAAAATCAAGAAGAAAACGACCTGAACCTAAAGGTTGTTAATGGTTTCTTTGCTTCCGATAACACCGGATTAAAAAAAAACAGATTTATTGCATGTTTTGCGTCTTGTTGGAACCATAGACCACATCAAAGGAAATCTATCAATGCTGGCGTCAAAATGCCAGACCTTCCCATAGGTTGAACGCTAATTCTGGCGGGAAATTTAAAATCTAACATTAAATTGGGTTTGTATTATTTACTTGTTTCACTTGCAGGCGGACTCGTCTGAAGACGAAGAACCCGAATTAGAAGCATCAAAGAAAAATGGCAAACGCAAATCGGCTGGCGGCAAAACCAAAGGCCGAAAGTCCAAGTTTGCTTCGGCAAAAAGCGAAGAGGTACTGTTTGTTTTGTGAATAATAGTGTAAATGGAAGCTCTTGCTACATGTGACTGTTTTAAGCATTTGTCTGAAGATGAAGACGGACATCCAGAGCCTGCCAAGGAGAATGGCAATAAGAAATCGTCGGGACGTAAAAGCAAAACAGTGCATTCCAAGGCCGAGCTACAGGTACAGCTGTAAAGCCCATGTCCCATGTATCCGTTTATACGAAACTGTTTCTATTGGTTGGAAATGTGTCAGTTCGTCCGACGACGGGCGAATTGACAGATCTCCAACCAATAGAAACACCTTAGTATCATCGTATAAACGAATACATGGGACATGAGCTTAAGTTCCAGGATTCGAAGCTGTTCTAAAATCCTTGCTACTTTCAGAGCCCCACTGACGAAACTGATCCGCTGGGCGACGATAGTGACGACGCAGAATATGAGGTACGGTTGCTGATTGGTTTCAATCCAGTTCACTACCAATAGGCTCCTCGCTAGGTGGAAGCCGTCTTGGACGAGAAAATTGTGAAAGGGCTACGCCACTACCTGATTAGATGGAAGGGGTATACGGAGGAGAGCGACACATGGGAACCAGAAAGCACTCTGGAGTGCAAAGAGCTGATAAAAGCTTACAAGGCGAAGAAGAACAAAAAGAACGACAAGAAACAACGGACAAAGTCCAAAACAGAAATCCCAGCAGAGAAGAGTTGGAATGAAAATGATGATTTTGAGGTGCAAACTACTTGTGACACGTTGTAGAGTAGTTATATCTTTTTTATTATCAGGTGGATCGTATTATTGACGTATACTTCCATAAAAACGGCAAGCGGGACTTCTTGGTGTCCTGGAAAGGCTACCCGGCATCGGACAACTCTTGGGAACCGGAAGACAACATGGATTGCAAAGATCTGATCGCCAAATACATGGAGAAAGTGGAACGCGCGAAACAATACGAGGCAAGTCGCAAACACCGCCATTCATTACATGGATGGAGCTAACTTTGGAATTTTCAGAGTAAGGAAGGCAAGCTGCGGGTCAACCCCAAGCCTGTTAAGCGGCTGGCGTTCAACATGCACGAGAACAGCAGGCGTCTGAGCAAGAGGCAAAGAGGCAAGGACAGGTGGGTAGCCTATGAAAAGCTTCGCGCGCTCTAAATTGAGGTATTTCTCAGGGTCCATTACTTCGATACAGAATAAAACCACCTTCTCATCTGCTGAAGTTTTCCATCAAAGACGGACGCATCTAAATAACTTTAGTTCTGCGATTCGAAGACAATGTTCATCTAGTGTGTACCATGTATGAGGCACAAAAATATCTGAAAGTTTATATGTAACGTTTGTAAGGGTTAGAGTGGAAATTGGTTTCCTACAGCCGTGGAAGGAGTAGCTACTGTTAAACTCAATTCGTATGTCTTGAATTTGCATACTGTTTAGTTTTGACCACTTTCTTCGTCACCCACGGCTATAACCAAACCATTTTGGGTTGAAATGTCGTTGACATTATTAGAAAAATTGAAGTTTTGTACGTGATTTTTTCCATGTAATTTGGTTTCTTCCAATAAAAAGGCTTTATTTCGACTTAAGCAAATCTATAAGTAAGAAGCGCAACCCAGCGGAAACAAGCTGGGACTCTCTGTCAGGTCCTCCTCTGATGACTCAGCTTCGACATCAGCAGCAACTTCAGTTTCCTCAAGCGCTTTATTTCGGCTTTTGCCCCGCTTGTTCCCTTCAGCATCCTGCCCAGCTTCCTCCGCTCCAACGTCCTCCTTGTCCAGCGCAGCAGTTTCGACTGCTTTGCTGTCGATTTGTATATCACTGTCCGCAGCTGAAACTTCCTGTTTGCCAAAGATGCTGGCTGACTTCAGTTTGGATAAATACTGAAACTCTGTCGAGTGTTTGCCAGTTTCGTCCTCTTGATCCAGCTGGCGACTGTCCAACATGAAGTTGTTGAAGCGTTCCTGAATAAGGGTGGAGCCCAGCTCCTCATAATCCTGTTTAGATACCAAATTGTTGCGAAAGTCGTGCGTCCTCAAGAGGGCGCTGCCCCCTTTCCAGGGGTAAGTGATGGGGTCGGCGTGCTGGAACAGCCCTAGTTGCCAAGCATCTGGTAGTAGGGAGCGCAGCTCCGCATACATTCGCTCTTTAAAGCCGGGAAACTTGCAGTTTCCGCCCACCATAATGATGTTCTTCGCCAGAGACTGCCGGTGCTCTTTGGGACTGGACATTATGGACTTAACCACCGCCTCTGCAATGCCCATGCTTTTCATCCCGATATCCGACGGATGGAAGAGGATTTCAGGCACAACAAACCGCTCGTTGTTCAGTCTGAGGACTTGATAGCTCTCCTCAACTTCGCTCGGGTTCTCCGGTTTGGTTTCCTGGATGTAACCGCGACGAATCACATTGAAATCAGGCAATACATAGTTCTTCACGATAGAGTTCGACCCGAAAGGCTTAGAGGCCTCGGCCAGCTCCTTTTTCACATCGGCGCACACATAGCCGGTGTCTTCTTTCACTTGATTGATCACATAAGTCTCTTCCATGACGTTGTACTGTCTGTAGGAAATAATGTCCTTTAAGTGATTGGTCAGGAGCTTGCCCCCAACATTCACCCGCCGCACGCCCCTAAGGAATTTGCTTCCCCTAACGTAAGGCACAATGTGAGTAAAGCTGAATCCAGAGTCCATCACTAAGCAGGCGTCGCTTTTTGTCAGCTTATTGTGCTTAGCATAGTTCAAGTAAGCCAGATCGGTGGGCGTGCATCGGAACAAGCTAGACACTTCGTACTCCTCAAAAAACACCTCATCCATGCAGTCCTGGATCGACTTGAAGTTAAACAAAGGCTGCGTTATCACCACCGGGTTCTCGTCGATTGTGCACACGCTCCTGCTAAACACATGGTCCCACACGGGCTTTTGCACCTCCCACCGCGTAATGTACCCCTTTTCGCACGGCAGCAGGAAATAGAGCCCCGAACAGTCGCGGCACTCCTCAATCTGCTTGCCCACAAACAACCGCTTCTTTTCCGACTTGGCTTTCATGATACAGTTGGGGACCACTTGGGGCTCCTCCTCAGTGGTGAAGCCCACTTTAATGGTATAGGCGCCATTGTCGACCACTAGGGCTCGGAAGGCTGGCGCTTTTATAGGTTTTGGTGCTACTTCTTTCGTACTACCTCCACTGCTGCGCCGTCTTTTGAGCGTTCGGCCCGACTTCGGCTCCCAATCACCCATACTTTTCACACCCTAAACTCGGAGACTTGTCTCTGCTAAACTAGTTGTTTTCAAAACAAACCAGACATTTATGCAGAGACTTGTTTCTGTTTTTTGTTTTGATTATTGACGCATAACCTCAAATTTGTTGGTTTATGCGACAGATGAGTAATCGCCATGGATGCCAAGCGTTTGGAAAATTCCCGATCCCGCACTAATGTTGGTTTCGACATGCAGCAATTGTAGTAACGGCAATTTACCTGAATTTAATGCGAAAAGTCGGTTTTGAGTCAAATCGCGATGTTGCGTTATTAAATCTACGAGGTGATCATGTGTGGTAAATGTCGGTGTTCTTTTTAATTATCCCTTAAAGTACTTAAAATAATGTACATTCAGCGAAAAAGAAATGTATGTATTTAAATGGTGATAGTCTGATGGTACTTAAATTTTCAGAAAAAACACTTACGAACTTTTAAAAATCATGTCCAAACGACCCGGTATTTATGGATAATAATGCGATTACCCAGTGCTACTGTGCAAACTGTTAAATATTGTTTTAAGAACTAACAATCGACGATTCGACACACAAAATTTGGCCTATGACCCACCGTAATAGTTTTTGCAAAATTTTGAGACCTATTTCAAATATCATGATTGATTGCGGTTATCTCCAACACGTCTTCTTCCCATTTTGGGCGGAGTTGCATGGAATGTTATACTTTGCGGTCAGATACCGGTGATAAATTGGACTTCAAATTCCAATGTTGCCACTTATTTTGCCCATGCATAATCAATTATACTTGCACTTTCCGAGAAGAGACATTTCCTTTAAATAATGCCAATGTTTAAGGAAATATGTTCCTAAGAAGAAAATATGATCAAATATATAAATCAAAATCAAATAAATGAGTTAAAAATTAACAATAAACCTACACTAACCCAAATTCAACGCATCTTTAAACCTTACAACATTAATAGTGAATAGTGAGTAGTATGTGCTTCAAACTTAATTAAACTTACATGCTTACAGCACTCACACGAAAGTATACTATTCCATTTGCTTATAACCATTTTGTGTAGTCTGGCAACTCTGCACAAACTATGGCGTAAATATGGACACAATATGGAATTTTATTAAAATTTGTAAATGTTTTCTAGCATGATTCTATTGACCATCCGCAGTTTTTCTTCGCGGAATGTGCCTTATTTTCAGTGCAGTTTAAGGGAAAATTAAAAAGAACCTGAAATCCGCCAGATATAAAGTACATGGTCACCGAACGCTTCAAATTAAGCAGTTTCAAGGAAAACAATTCCTGGAATGTTCATAAATTAAGTCCAAAAACACATTCATAACTCCATATGTAACATTAGCGCTAAGATGCATAATAATTGTGTTTTTCGCAAAAGTTCGAGCATCTTTTTTAACGTCACTAATTGATTGAGATTATCTATCGCGTCGAAACTCAGATAGCAGACTATTCGCGAGTTCAACTATCGATTGTGGCGCTGCGAAACGTCAAATTACTCGTTGTCGAGCTATATAAGTCTTGTTCTATGATGTCGAGTGACAGTTCAGACTTGTTTATTTATCGGAGTTGATGATATCTATAACATGAAACAATACTTACACGCGTTTCGATCTATTTCTTCAAAAGCTTGCAAAAGTTGATAGAACAAAACAAATCAGAATCAGATATAAACACCAATCTGACACCAATGTCAACAAAACAAGTATCAAATTACTTCTTAACTTTTAGTCACAATTTTAGCCACCTGGGGGCGTCTGGACTTTTGAACTCACGAATACTTGCACGCTTGACGTTCTGTTTCTTTTTCTTTAAAACAGCGTTACTCAAAGTGTGCGCCCCAAAGCCTACGGTAGGGCTCCACCGATAATAAAATTAATACATGTATTAAATCGGAGTCTATAAGAAAACCTAAGATAAAAATAAACTACCAAAAAAAAAACCTACTTCTATATTTTACGGGTATATAATAATACAGGGTGATTCACGTAGCTCTTTCGATAGAAACATTATTATTTCCCGAAATCTTATTAATATGAAATTTGGTAGGCACCATAATCGGCTGCTGCAAGTCCAAATATAGTATTCCCAAAATGACGGCACTTCATTACGAAATTACCGGAAATCGACGCCATCTTCGGTTTGTTAAATGGAAAGTTTTTTCGATTTTATATTTGGATTCAGCCTTAAATTGTGAGTTCAGAATGTCCATTAGTCAACACTCATCTGTCACAGTTTTTGACTTACGCAATAAATGTGACATATGTCAAAAACTATGACAGATAAGTGTTCACAAATACAAAATATGAAATCAAAATAGGGACTTTAAATTTAAAAAGCCAAGATATCGTCGATTTTCGATGTTTCCGGAAGCGTAGCCAATTTGCAAAAAACTATATTCTGACTTGCGGCAGCCGATTATGGCTGCCTATCAATTTTCATTTCATTCCAAAAAACCTTTTTTATTGTACGCATATTAATAAAGAATACACATATAACTTGTTTTGTTTTCAGTTTAGTTAGGGTTTAGGGCTCCGTTAAAAATTTAGTTTTTTAAAAGAGTTGCGTCACCAAAAAAATTTGAGAACCGAAACTTGATTAAATACCAATGTCAATAAAACATCTGTCAAATTACTAGTAAACTTGTAGCTATAATTTTAGCCACCAGGTGGCGCTGGTTGGACTTTTGGATTCGCAAACTTGTCTCCCTCGGAAATTCAACAGAATGCTGCCACGTATTTTTGAGTTATTTTTCCTTCTTTTTGAATTGAATTTTGAGTGTTTTAAAAAATGAATAACCTGAAAAAACCTAAATAACTTAAACCGCCCCATATGGAATGAGTCTACATGCAAGGTACCCAAGAAAACAATTTTCAACAATGCTCAAAATCGTGATTTTTCTCAAACTTTTGTTTTGTGTTTGAGTGTTTTTTGGCTTAATTTATGGACAATCCAGGAGTTTCTTCCACTGAAACTGCTTAATTTGAAGTGTTCTTCAAGGTAAAAAAAATCTAAAAATTCAGAGGCACTCAAACTAGGCCTGGGTAACACTGTGTTGAGTTGCGCTTTTGAGTTAAACTCACCCCGCCGCACCACGAACTGCGCTTGTGGAAGACATCATCCACCAATTCATAGGTGGCACCACCCACTCTGGTTACTTCATTATCATCACATTTAACCTCATTCAAGATGGCAGACTTCGAATTGCAAGTTCGTGAAGGCAGGAAAATTACCATGTGATTTATGATTCCCGCATTATCGGCAGAGATTATATTAGGTATTATGTAATTATAACGCTGCCTGTGCGATTGTGGAATTTCGAAGCCACAAGTTCTATACGAGTTTACTGCAGGCTAATCTGAGCCAGTGAGTTACTGCGCCAGTGCGTTGGGTTGGCGCACCAAGCCATTTGCGCAGCACTACGCCAACTCATGAAAATTCACTGAGTTACCCAGGCCGAACTTAAACTAGACAAGGACACAAAGCAGCGATCAAACTTCTGTTAAAAATCTGTATATTTTGGTGAAAAATACGCAAAAGCATTTCGTTTGTTTTTTAGTAAAATTTAACTCCGCCTATCACACTCCTGGTTAGAAAGCCGTAAGAATCATATGTTAACAAAAACCCTGTCGTTGTCCTTAACGCAATAGTAATCAAGCTCCTTCGTCTCGTCGTCTAGAGGAATTTCAAATTGATTTTCCTCCAAACAGACCAATGCGGGCAGGTCTTCGAGTTTAAACAATTTTTGCACTAAAATTCGCAGTTTCTGGACCAACATGAAGGGCGACACCTTTTTACTGACCTCTCGGCCCTTGTGGACGAGGTTCAGGCCTATGAGTGAATTTTTTAGTTTACTGTTGTCCTCGATTTTGAGTTCGGCGTGCTCGAGCTCCCCATACACTTTAAAACACAACTGAAATAGCACAACGGGCCCAACTTACAACAAAAGTGGTACTCACTGTGCACCAGGTCCAAGTAGCGGTTGTGTTCCTTAAGAAAATCAGTCTCTTTGGGCGTGTTCTTCACCCTCAGCCACTCCAAGCCGTACTTTTTCAAGTAGTCGTATTCGCAACCTCGCCGGAATTCGCCACTTATCCGAAGATCGCCAATTAGGTTTCTGCCGTTATGCACCTGGAACCTTACTAATGCAGTTGCAGCCGGCTTTAGTCGGTTTGTTACCTTTAGAGAGGCGATTTTGGCCACAACCAGCGCAATGACAGTGTCGGGGTTTTCGCTGGTTAGAATCGGGTTGTTCGAGAAGCGCAGCCCTTCTAAGTTTGGCAGTCTATTCAGCTCACTCACTGAGGTCCACTGAAAAACCAGCGAAATTAAATCAATATGCGATAGTTGTCGTCGTACGGAGTAGACATCCCACAGAAGAAAACAGAATCGCCCTTAACCGACAAGGGCAACTGCTGAAAGAAGCCTTACTGAAGCGCAGGAACCAGAAATGGGAAAACCGCTCGAGAGAGTTGAATCCTGAGGACCAAAGCATATGAAGTATGCAAAAGGCCCTAAGAAGAGAAGGTTTCCACGGAACTCAAGGTTTGGTATTTACAGATGGCGACAAAGCTGAGGCATTTGCCTAAGCAATCGAGAGTGTGGCCAGGGTAAACCACCACCCAATGGCAGTTGCGCAGTGGATCTTGGAACAACACAGAAAGTACTGGGAGGAGACACCGCGACTTCATAGCAGTTGGTGGGACCTCCACAGCCAGTACGTAAAAATGAACTGCTAGGTCTCAGCAGGCAAAAAATAAGGAGGATAGTGGCCTTTTTAACAGGACACGCCCCCTGCAAAAAACACCTCTTCAGGATGGGACTGAACGATCAACCGACCTGCAGGGGTTGCAAATTAGAGGACGAAACTACTCTGCATGTTATGTGTCACTGCCCGCCATATGCAACAGCTAGACGAAGACTCCTGGGAGGGCATGAAATTCCACCAGACCAGATCATGCGAACTCCCCTCAAGATTCTTCTGGAATTCATTGAATATACAGGGATAATGAGGGAGTAAAATTACGAGGGCACAATAGGACAGAAATGACCGCGGTGCAAGGTCAAACACCACCTCGGCGGTAAGGAAAGGGTTTTAGTGGGTAAACAGCTTAGCTGGAGTTCCACACAACCCAGAGCGACAGACCACCAGCTCTGGGAGTGCATAAAAGAGCATTTTCCAAACCTTACCGAAAAAAAAAACCACCACCCAAACGATGACCTACACCACGAAGCAACTGTCAGAAGAACAGTAAATAAGCTTCGGAGTGAAAGGCCAGGCAGCCACCTCCCCCCAACTTCGCCAGCAGAAGTTGCAGCCATCATCAGAAAAACCAAAGCTAAGAAAGCCCCTGGAAGAGATGGACTCACCAACAAAATGCTGAGGAACCTGCCGAGAAAGGGACTGGTAGCTGTCGCTAACTTGATTAATGCTATTTTCATGACTGGTCATTTCCCAAGCATCTGGAAGCACTCGGAAGTCATCATGCTCCCGAAGCCCAAGAAAAACAGGATTTTCCCCCAAAACTACAGGCCTATCAGCCTGTTGCCCCCTCTCAGTAAAGTAGCCGAAAGGGCTATACTGAGGAGACTTAAGGAGGAAACGAGCGAGCCTGACTTGCTTCCGCTAGAACAGTTTGGATCCCGAGGGAAGCATTCCACGGAACTTCAGCTGCTCACGATAGTAGAAAGATGCACCAAAGAAATGAATCAGTACCGAACGACTGGAATACTCACACTGGATGTCGAAAGAGTGTTCGACAGGGTGTGGAGAGACGGTCTCATCTATAAGATGATGGAAATAGGTATTAACAAGAACCTGTGCCAGTTAATAGACAGTTATATTTGCAGAAGGAGCTTCAGCGTCAAAGTTGGAGGTCACCGGTCAGAAACCAGAAGCACTGAGGCAGGAGT